CATAAATAAACATCAAAAAAAAAATAAAAAGTACAAAAAAAAAAGAAAGAAAAAAAGAAATGATTGCCCCTGCCCTAAAAAAATTCAAATCATCTCCACCATTATATGGAGCCAGGGCCCAAATGGGAGCTTCTCTGTATATCTTGGGTAAAAGTCCTTTATCTGCTTTGTCTTTTGCAAATATTTTCTCCCAGTCTGTGGCTTGTTTTTTCATTCTCTTGATATTGTCTTTAACAGAGCAGAAGTTTTTTTTTTTATTTTAATGAAATCCAGTTTATCAATTATTTTTTTTCATGGATCATGCTTGTTGTGTTTATCTAAAAGTCATTGCCAAACCAAAGGTCATCTAAATTTTCTTCTATGTTCTTTTCTAGGAGTTCTATAGTTTTGCATTTCACATTTAGGTCTGTGGTCCATTTTGAGTTTATTTCTGTGAAGAGTGTAAGTTCTGTGTCTAGATTCATGTTTTTGCCTGTTGACATCCAGTTGTTCCAGCACCATTCATTGGAAAAAAACTATCTTTGCTCCATAATATTGCTTTTGCTCCTTTATCAAAGATCAGTTGACTCAAGTAATATGGGTTTATTCCTGAGCTTTCTGTTCTGTTCTGTTGACCTGTTGGTCAATTCTTGCACCAACACCACACTACTTGATTACTCTAGAGTTATAGTAAGTCCTGAAGTCGGGTTCTGTCAGTCATCCAAGTTTTTTCTTCTCCTTCAATATTGTGTTGCCTATCCTGTCTTTTGCTTCTCCAAATAAACATTAGAATCAGTTTGTCAATATCCAAAAAAACAATTTGCTGGAATTTTTATTGAGATTGCTTTGATCAATAGATCAATAGACCAACAGAAATTAAGTTGGGAAAACTGACATTTTGATATTACTGAGTTTTCCTCTCCATGAGCAGGGAATATGTCCATTTATTTAACTCTTCTTTGATTGTTTTTATTAGGTTTCTAGTTTTCCTCATACAGACATTCTACTTGTTCATTGCTGGTGTATGGGAAAGCAATTTACTTTTGCATATTGCTCTTGTATCCTGCAAACTTGCTGTAATTCCCTTTAGTTTCAGGGTTTTTTTTAAATTTTTTCTTTTGGGTTTTCTACATAGACAATTTGTTATCAGCAAACACTTTGATTTATTCCTTCTTAATCTGTACATCTTTTCTTGTCTTAATTGCAGTTGTTAAGACTTGTGGTACGTTGAAAAGGAGAGTGAGAAGGGACATCCTTGTAGCACAAAAACACCACAAACTCAGAAAAATATAGTTTTTTTTAAAGGCCCAACATTAAATTGCTGATGTCATATCTAAAAAGTTGATATAGGGGCGCCTGGGTGGCGCAGTCGGTTAAGCGTCCGACTTCAGCCAGGTCACGATCTCGCGGTCCGTGAGTTCGAGCCCCGCGTCAGGCTCTGGGCTGATGGCTCAGAGCCTGGAGCCTGCTTCCGATTCTGTGTCTCCCTCTCTCTCTGCCCCTCCCCCGTTCATGCTCTGTCTCTCTCTGTCTCAAAAATAAATAAACGTTAAAAAAAAAAATTTTAAAAAAAAATTAAAAAAAAAAAAATAAAATAAAAAATAAAAAGTTGATATAGATTAAAAAGGAAAAAAATGATAATATGGACTGTTATTTAAATAGGAAGTCATAGAAAAGAAAATAAAAAATACAGCTCTTAACCATATGAAAAAAAAAGTTCAACTGGTCTCAGAGTAAGACAAATGCAAATTAAAACTATACTGCGATCCCATTTTTGTTTCAATCAGATTGAAAATATTGAAAATAAAATAACACATTATGTGGTGAAGATGTAGACAAATAGGCACCACATTATATTGTCATCAGGAGAATCAATACTTCAAAGTGAGTAATTTTGCAATAATATCAAAATTAAAGATCCAGTTTTTTGCACAACCAAGTCCATTTTTTAGAAATTGATACCATAAATATGTCCACATATATGTGAAAATATGTGTATAAAATTTATTAACTGCAGCTTTATTTAGAATAGCAAAGTATTGGAAACAACCTGAATACCCATAACTGGGTGGTTCATTCAATAAATTACAGTGCATGCAAACAATGGAAAACCAGGTAGTTGATAAAGATGGTTGAATCTATGAAAATTGATAAGGAATGAACTCTAATATATATTTTTAAGTGAAAAATGAAAGATGCAAAGGAGTTGTATCCTAAGACACTATGTCTATATATTTTTAAATAGAAAATGTGGGGACACCTGGGTGGCTCAGTCAGTTAGGCATCTGACTTCAGCTCAGGTCATGATCTTGCGGTTGTGGGTTCGAGTCCTGCATTGGGCTCTGTGCTAACAGCTCAGAGCCTGGAGCCTGCTTTGGATTCTGTGTCTCCCTCTCTCTCTGCCCCTCCTCTGCTCATACCCTGTCCCTGTCTCTGTCTCTGTCTCTCTCTCTGTCTCTCAAAATAAATGTTAAAAAAAAAAAAGAAAATGTATGAGTACACATACACTCATGTGATTAGTGATTACCTATTACATACCTGGAAAAATATATGAAGATGATAACAGTGGTTACCTCTGGGAACAGGAATTGACTGTTGGAGAACGGGTGGAAGGGAGTTTGCACTGTATTTTCTTTTAAATGTTTTGAGTTTATATCATTACACACATTTTCTATCAGAAAACTAGTTAAAAATAAAAACCATATATACATCTATGTCATAATACTTCCCTAATGAGAAAATGCACCATACTTGTTATTCCTAAACTTTTATTTCCACGTAAATAACTACCAGTGTTTTCCTGATGCCTCATCAGAGAAGTAGAACTTTAAGGTTCGATATTCCTTTTCCATTGATTTAAATTTACTGATTTAATTTTTCTATTCTTCCAGGCCCTAAGCTGATTACAGGTAGATTGCAAGAAACTCTGAAAGTTTTATTAGCTCACTTAATACACTGAGGATACAAATTTAGACTTAAATGTCCCACTTGTTTCTGGTCATCCACTGAAAACTATTGTTATAAACCTCACAGCAGTGGGGACTTCCTTCAGTGAAATTTGAGGTCCCTCTAGGACTCCTCACCAAACAGTTATGGCTGCAATTTTATTATTGTGGCTTATATTCACCAAAGCTGCAATTAACTGTATCAGAGCTTGTTGACCTTAATGAGTTAACACAGTGTCCAAATAAAACTCATATCCAAGCGGTAGCTTAGGCTCTGGGAAGTTTTGGCTCAGTAATATCTGTGAAATTTGAGCTCATATTAAATATACCTTGAAACAATACATTTGGGATTTGGCTCCTGGCATCAGATCAGATCTGACTCTGCTGCATGGAGTTGAGAGTTTTGCCTCGGGTGCTCATAATATGTTTAGCTGTTTAGGACTATAGAATCAGCAAGAATAGCATTATTGCTTTAGTGAAGAAAAGCACTTCCGTTTTTGTTGGCACCCTGGCTTGTTTCTGATAATTTTTTCCTGAAACAGGAGAATCCTGCTGTCTCCTATATGTATAGCTATCTTTTCCCATCTGAGGCCTAATCTAGGAATTTTTTTTCCAGCCTAGTCTTTCTCTCATTCCTAGCCACATAAATGGCATTTGTCCAACACTGAACCGTCTCTGTCTATGTGTTCAAATAAGCCATCCCTCGCATGGCTAATGTCATAAGTCAGCCACAATTCCAGCTGTCTCAATCTCAGATTAGATGAAGACTCAGGTCTGTGACTCAGTCAGCAATGACTATTTGATTGGTTATTAAGGCTGGCTGCAGTGGGACACCTGGTTGAGTGTCTGACTTCGGCTGAGGTCATGACCTTAAAGTTCATGAGTTCAAGCCCTGCGTCAGGCTCTGTGCTGTCAGCTCAGAGCTCGCTTTGAATCTTCTGTCCCCCCCTCTCTCTCTGCCCCTGCCCCACTCATGCTGTCTCAAAAATGAATAAACATTAAAAAAAAAAAAAAAAAAAAGGTGGCTGCAGCCAACTGTTTTGACCAGCTTGGTCAGGAGCCACTTGTTAGGACTAGAGGGTTGGATGATATACCCTCTCAGAGATATCTCCCTTTCCACTTCATCCTGTTGCTAAGCTATCCATTGCCCCTATGGGGGATATATCCTCGTCTGGGTAGCTCCCAGAGTAAATGGTCCATTAGGGACATGATGGTATTTAGCCTAATGTACTTTAATTAAGGCTATAGTTGAATCACTTCCTTAAGTTATGGCACAATTACTGTATCGGCAAAGCACAAGAATTAATAAACTTGGGACATTTAACAAAACCTGAACTAGAAAGCACATCTGTTAAGCCAAAGCCATTGAAGCAGTAAGTAGAATGGTGGTTGCTGGAGGGGGGGGGGG